ACGCTCTAACCGCTGAGCCAAACTGGCCAGGGCTCTTCCTAACTTTTTATAGCTTATTTTAAACCTTGAGGCCCTACAACATGGATGAACCTTGAAAATATGCTAAATTAAAGAAACCCAACACAAAGGCCACATATTGTATGATTGCATTTATATGAATAGGCAAATCCATAGAGACAGAAAGTAAATTAGTGGTTGCCAGGGGTTGGATGGAGGGGTTTGGGGAGTATCTGCTAAGGATGTGGGTGTTTTGGGGCGGCGGGGATGACGATATTCTGGAATTGGTGGTGATGGCTGTGCAACTTTATAAATATACCAAAGAAACCAGTGAATTGTACACTTTCTAAAAGGGTGAAATTTATGGCATGTGAATTCTTTCTCAATAAAAAATAATTTTACGAGGGAAAATAAGACCCCAGCACAAATAACCTGTCCTTTGATAAAATCTTTATTGTTTTTCTTGGCTGAAAATAATACTGTGCCCGCTGAAGTTCCCCAGCTCTTCATCTGCTAGCTCCTATGGAAATGTTCCTTTTCCTCTTCCAAGTACATGCTAAGCATCTGGGAACAAAGATGACGTCCTGTTAATCTTTGCAGCATCACAGTGTTTATTCCCTGTTCTGTGACTCTGTTAAGTATTCATGAAAAAATTTTTAGGTTTAAGAATAAAGTTGTAAATTAGCAAGTTACAAAAATCTTCTGTGTGAATATACTTACATGAAAAGTTGCAAACAACCACCACACACATGCAAGAAGCATATTAGAGCCTTTAAGGGGATAAAATTATGCCTTATTTTTTATTCTTCTCTAAGCTTTCAACTTCAGAATATGAGACCCTGGAGTAGGGACTTGAACCTGGGCTTTCTTTTGTCCCTGTGGGATTTGGTTCTCTGAAATTTGCTCTGAGTTGTTCATAGTATTGCTGTGATTTCAGTTGAAAATCATCCTTCTCTAGACTTAATGGTGAGAATATACCCCAAATACTGTTTGTTTTTATGAGCCGCAGTGCCAGAAACATCGCCAAAAATTACAGAAAATTGAGACATAAGAATGACTTATGACTAGGCAAGTAGGATGTGGGGACATAAATCAGGAAGTTATCTGGCTACCTACAAGTTTTATGGGAAGGAAACAAATCCAAGAAATAGAAGGGAAAGTAGAATTAGAAATATTTAAACGAAGGCATTTCAGGGAACTTTTTTCAATGCCTATTCAATTTCAGTGATTAATTGACTTAAGTATCAGGAAACATTTTCTAATTATGCCTTTTATGGCCTGTGGGATAGCTTTTCTTGGGGTCTTTTTCAGACTTGAACTGCATTATTAAGGCAGGAATTTAATTGAGGAAAAGTAACGTCAGTCCGTGTGACTTTGAGTTCACGGAGCTGCTGTGCAGAGAATGAGTAAAAGACATTCCTGTCCCTGACCAGTACTATTACTGATTGTAAAAATCACTGTGTTTTTGTTAGAACCACTTTCTCAGTTGCCTGTGACATAATTAAAAAGAATGACTTGTAATTCTTCAGAGTAACTCTTTTATCCTGCTGCACATTATTTCAGAGGAATTGACATGCCAGGAGGCAGAGGGTACTAAATTAGCCCGTTTTACCTTTTCTACTTTGTGTTCTTATGCGGTTTACACTTTGGTTTTCCCTAAGCTATTTCATGTGCTTGGGATATAGTCAGTTTCTTCGGTGTGGTTGGTATAATCAGTTATAGGAATAGAAGTTTGAAAATTTCCTCAGCTCAAATTAACATTTTTGTTTATGGTAAATAGTATCTCATGAATGGGGATAGGATACTTTATTTTATGACTTGTATTTGTACCTTTATAATTTCTGATTTTTTATTTGAAAAAAGTGAAAATTTAAAATGTTTTTGTGATTACATGAGATTTAGTTCTGGGGTGTCTTTTTTTTTCAGAATAGGACATGTAAGTCTTATAAAAATTATTTTTGTCATATTAATATTTCATATTAATAAAGGTTATTAATATTGTTTTTGGAATAATACCTTGAGTTTGTTTATCTATATCTTGTAAGATCTATAAGGTAGTCAAAGAATGTCCTATGATAGGTTGGCCTCCATAAAATTAATTCTTTTTCATTATAAGATATGCCTATACAGAATTTAGAGACTGTAAAAGTAGACAAAGAAGAAAATAATAAACTTCTGCCTGAGTTTAAGTTTCAGAGATTGCTATAAATTCTAATAGGCTTTGGCACATAATAATTGCTTATTGATGTCCAACTCTTTTTAGAATATCTTATCCACCACTTACTAGCTGGGCATCCTTGGGCAAATTACTTGCCTTTTCTGAGTCATCTTTTTGTTCTCTAATATGAAGATACAATAATAGTATCTACCTCTTAAAGTTGCTGTAAGGATTACATGAAGTAGCAGTGCCTAGTGCACTGAGGAAAATGGGGAAAAGAAAAAGTAGACAACATACATTCGACTATGCTCACAGCTTTATGCAGGGAAAAAACGAGCATGATACCCTCATTGCTTCATATACCAATGACAGCACTAGAATGAGTGTGCATACTTATATGTGTGTGTAAATGAAGACTTTCCCTTTGCATTTAAGATATTTATTTACTTAATTATTTTTAGGGAGAGAGAGATAGAAAAACATCAATGAGAGAGAACATCGATTGGCCACCTCCTGCATGCCCTCCACTGGGGATTGGGCCCCCAACCTGAGCATGTGCCCTGACCGGGAATCGAACCAGCAGCTTTCTGGTGCATGGGTCTACACTCAGCCTCTGAGCCACACCAGGTGGGCATTCCTTTGCATTTAAGGCATTTAAAATGCATTCACATTTATTCCCTCCCTTGGCCCTACAAGAATGCTTTGAGGCATACGTGAAATTTCCTTGTAGGTGCTTCTTTCCTCACTAGAGGGAAAAGGTAAATTAATTTAGTGTTGAAATTATAAAATAAACTCTAAAATATGTATGTTTTCTTTTAAGTACTAGTTTGAGGCTATCATAACCTTCACTTTTTTTCTTTTTTGAGAAACAGATTTTCACTCTAATAAAAATCATTACCATTATTATAAACTTACTGCATTAAATCTGTAGAACAAATTGAGGAACCTTCTTTTTTTTTTTTAAGATGGGCAAAAGGTCTTTGTTAACTTGTCTGCATGTCTGTCCTAGAGTGTACTTCCACCTGTACATCTGTTTCTAAACCTCCTCAAACTGTTGAGGATACAGAGAGGGTGGTACTAAAACTAGGATACTTTCCTTTGGAGTAATAACCTGTAGGAAGTGACAGCCAGGCTGGTTGATGGTCTAGTCAAAGCCTAAGTAGAAGCAGCATGTGCAGTGAAAGAGCCAGAGGCTGAAATCATAAGAGCAGGATTAGTCATAGTTCACCCTTCTGTGCAAATGCTCTCAACAAGTTACATAACCTCGGAGCCCTAGTTTCATAATCTGTTCCGTGGGAACAATAATGTCTACCTCGGAAGCAGTCAGCACCGTGTAGACACTTTTCTGCAATAACCCACACGTTATCTTTATTTATTTTTAATTTTTTTTCTTTATTGATTTTAGAGAGTGCGGGAGGGAGGGGGAGAGAGAGAGAGAAACATCCATGAGAGAGAACATCGATTGGCTACCCCCTGCGTGCCCCCCACTGGAGACTGGGCATGTGCCCTGCTGGGAATCGAACCGGCAACCTCTTGGTGCATGGGTCGATGCTCAACCACTGAGCCACACCAACTGGATTCCACACATTACCTTTAGAAGCCCAGTCATAAACCCAGTCATCTCATACTTCTAATCGGGATCTCCTAAATGTATGGTAACATGACCTCTTGAATAAATGTTTAGTTAGTACCCACTATGGTATTGTTCTAGATCAGCGTGTTCAATAGAAAAATAATGTCAGCACATATGTAGTTTTAAATTATCTAGTAGCCACATTAAAAAAGGTAAAAAGAAACAGGCAAGATTAACTTTAATACTATATCTTATTTTCTATCCAAAATATTATGTAATCAGTATAAAAATTATTAATGAGATAGGTTACCTTCTTTTTTTGTACTAAGTCCTTGAAATCCGGAGGATATTTTAATCTAACAGCACATCTCAATTCAGATTGACCTCATTTCAAGTGCTCAGTGTCCACATGTGGCTAGTAGCTACTGTGTCAGGTGCCTGTCCGCTTCTCAATGTTGAGGTTGTCGTTGTGAACACGATGTAGAAAGTCCTTTCCCTCCGAGATTCCTCTAGCAGAGCGAGGGAGACAGCACATAACAAATGTGAGTGACATAATGGTAGTCGTGTGGGGGTGCCTGGGAGGGAAGCTATCTCCGAGGTGTTGACATTGAGCTGAGACCCGTGTGGTTAAAAAGGCAGAACTAGTCATGAGAAAATATGAGTGATGTTTCTTCTAGTCAGTAGGAATTGCCCTAAAGTGGGTGATCTTAGCTATGTTTAATGAGCCAATTGTTTGGCTGGATTATAGTGAGCAAGGAAGTGTGGATGAGGCCAGGCGAGATTGTAGACGTAGACCTGCTTTAGAACAAGGAGGGACATGAAGCCCATGATAAGAAACTGAGGTTTTGTATTAAATGAATTGGGAAGCAAGTAGAGGGTTTTAATAGGGGCAGGAGATGCACATGAGTTTACAAAATACAAGTTGGACCCCTATATGTTAAAAAATAACCTATTTATTATATATATAACTCAGTGGACCAGATGACCAACTTTTAAAATATATCTAACCAATATCTTTTTCCCAGTTTTGAAATGTACTTATATGTAAATCAGTCTCATATTTATAGGCTTTTGTATGATTTAGGAAGAACATCTCTTGAGCACTTTACTATCTTTAACTCTCATCTCAAATTCCAAAAGAACTCTGGTGCTTTATTTAGTATGAAGTTCTCACTTATAATTGATGTATAAACAAAATGCTTTTGAGGAGTGACTAAGAAAATGTTTAAACAATGGATCTACTAATTTTTTTCTTTTTTTATCCTTTGGCAGACATGTGTATTGCTATTGCAATCTCTCTCCTCATGATCCTGATATGTGCGATGGCTACTTACGGAGCGTACAAGGTAAGCAGCTTTGCAAGAGGTTCAGACAGAAAAACCTCCAGGAAGGGAAGCTCACAATGTCACCTTGGCTTAATCTGGATTGAGTCCAGTAAATAGGAGGGCTTCAGGCAGGGCCTGTTAGCCAGGTGCCCTCTGTGCCCCCTGTGTCTGCCTTGCCTAGCAAGGATTTCCTGCCATGTGCGTTCTGCTCTTCCTCAACTACCTGTAAATCACCTTCTCACTTCTGAAACCTAATACCTCATCCCCCCACCCCGCTTTTTTTGTCCAAAATATCATGATATACCCAATGTTGCCTCGATTTCCCACAAGCATGTATTAAATGTTGATTTTTTTTTCTGTTTAAAAAACAAAGGAACTCAGCTGGGTCTTTCCTGTGTGTCCCTTAAATGTATCATTTGTATAACTGTAAGAAGTAAAAGGAGTAACATGCCACCGTTCTCAGTTTTCTGGAAGAATCTTTGAAAGTTTAAGCCTCTTGTTTGTATTATGTAGCACCAGGAAGACCAGTACAGTCTCAGAAAGGGTCACTGGGATTTGCTTGTTCACTCCTAGTTGGCCACCAGCTGCCATCGTGTCCTGCCTGAAGGACTTGCTTTCCTCCCTTTCCCTTCGGATGAAGATGTCTCTGAATTAAAAGAAATGCTGTCTTGTGATATTGAACACTGTTAACATTAACATCCTGTTTCCTCTCCTATCTAGCAACATGCGGCCTGGATCATCCCATTCTTCTGTTACCAGATCTTTGATTTTGCCCTGAACACCTTGGTTGCGGTCACCGTGCTTGTTTACCCCAGCTCCGTTCAGGATTATATACGCCAGCTGGTAGGTGGCCGGCCCAGGGACCGCTCCTCTTCCCGAGGGGAACCGGCTTAAGTAACGGAGAAGAGGTATTCAGAGAGACAGGCACACCTATTAATTTGGGTTTTTAACTTGTGTCTGAGTTAGTGATGAGAGATTTTTTTTAAGGTTATCTTGATGATAAGATTTTTGGTTTGTTAGAGTGTTTTGTGGAAAAACAACCTCCTGAGATAAGTTGGTGGCTGAGATGATGGTATTAGATGCACCTAACTAACTTAGAAGCTAGTTACTAATTGTTTTATTTTTGTAAAACGCTGCGTGCTCAGTTATCAGCGCAGGCTAGGTGTCTGCCTGCTGTTGCTCATGAACAGTGGGACTCCGCTCTGGGCTGCATCCCACACTGACTTGGCCACAAACAGTCTTCCCCAAGCACTTTTTTTAGACTAGTTTTCTGAATGTCTTTTGTAACCATATGTGTGAATATTGATGGCTGGGTATTAAGAAACGCGTGACAAGGGAAAGAGAAGATGGCGATCGATAGGCGAAAGCAACACACACCTCCTGGCACGGAACAGGAGTTACAGCTAAAATTTAGAGCAATTAACCTGAATTAGCAGCAGAAGGGCACCTGAACAGGAGTGTTACACCCAAGGATTGGAAACAAAGAAGCTGCACAGAGACTGGTGAGAAATGCGGGTACACGGGATGGGCTGGTCCCTGTACCCCGGGGGCAGCGGCTGTGAAGACAAAGAAATATTGCAGCTTCAAGAGCTCCCCAGAGGAAAGTGGGATCTCAGTCCCACACCGGGGCCCCCAACCCAGAACACCAGGGCCGGGAAGAAGAGCCTACATGACCTTTGGCAGCGAAAATAAGCAGGGACTTTGTTCACTTGAAAGAGGAGGGAGTCTGCTTGAATCCCTGGTGATGACCTTAAGGACTGATGCAGAGACTCACTCTCAGGCACTCGGCTGGGGCCCTGGCAGAGGGAAGGACACTCGGGAAGAGGGAAGCCATAAGGGGATCTGGGTGGCGAAGTGCTGGAGATCAAGAAGGCAGGCTTCTGAGGTCCCGGGCCTGAGCCAACATCCCACATGGCTCTTAAGTGCCATCTCCCAGGTTACAGCACTCTGTCCGTACAGCACCTGCTGGGCAGAGTGACTGACCCTGCCCTCCAAGTACTGCTGACACCTCCCTGCCGAACTCGAGTCCAGCACAAAGGGCTGTTGGCTGTACTCAGAAGGGACCTGAGGTGTGCTTTTTTTCCTGAAGAAACTGTATTTATTTATTTATTTTTAAACATTTTTTTCTTTATTGATTTTAAAGAGAAAGGAAGGGAGAGGGAGAGAGAGACACATCGATGAGAGGAAACATCAATTGGCCGCCTCCTGCATGCCTCCCACTGGGGATGGGGCCTACAACCCGGGCATGTGCTCTGACCTGGAATCGAACTGATGACTTCTTGGTGCCTGGGTTGACGCTCAACTTCTGAGCCACACTGGTCGGGCTTGGGTTTTTATTCTGTAATGATGATTGGGTGCTGGGGTCCTGAAATTCATACCTTGGAAGTGTGGAGGAAGCATGATGTCCACATAGCCTGTCATGTGAGGTACTGCTGGGAAGGGTGGTGTGGAGTCTGTTGTGGGCTACAGCCCTGAGCTTGCAGAGATTTGTAAAGAGGAGCACGGAGCCTGATGTGTCGGTGAGCGTTCGGAGCACTGAGAATACTTCCCGGACTTTCTGTTGAACCACATTGTTCCGGCGGTTCTCACGCCTTTGCTTTAGAGCTGCTCGTAGTGAAATGATAATATTGGTCTTGCTGACAGCAATCTTAATGTCTATTTTAAAAAATTACCACCTGCTTTTATTTGTAATTACATACCAAATAAAGCTAGTATGTTCTACTTAAAAATCATCCTGGGCGGAATGGGTGAGGCCTACAGATGACCACAATGCCAACAGACAGTCGTGAAAGGATTGTTAAAGATCCAATGGTTTTGAGGCCCTTGTTGATTATTTGAGATATAATGAGTCTGAGAGACTATTATCTGGGTGGCGGTATCTGGTGGCGGGGAGCAGTCACTAATTCTGATGCCTTTTCTGTTTATGCGGAGTCTTATAAAATGCAGTTGAAATAAACTGTGCATGTGTTTTTATGGGTCTCAGCTAGACCTAGAAACCACCTTCACTTTTCTGGGCGAGTGAGTATAAAATCTTTATAGAAAGGGTCACGTACTTCCACTTTAATCCTTTTTTTAATTAGACACAGAAACAAGATGATTTCATGTTCCCTTGTGAACAGCACCTGGTTTTATTCTTACCTTTAAAATAAGACTCGAAAACCCCGCCAGGCTCCAAGGGAAGGGACCAGTTTCATGAGCTGATCACAAAGAATGAGTTAGATTATATTTCTTAGATATTTTGCCCAAAGTGAAAGGAGACTCTGACAATCACTGAGTGATGCTCACCCTGGGGAGGAAGGGCCAAGCACAAGAGTCATGAGTTTTCTCTGTACTCTTCCTTAACGTTTGGAACTTTTTGGTTGTCTCAGAAGATGGCTAATGTAGAGTCCAAACACATCGCATTGGCTGAGGAAGAAGAGACAAAAGGCAACTGTGCACAGGGGCTGCCTTCCTGCACCCTTACCTCGGCCAGTCACGTGCTGGGCTTCACTCACTGCCCACCAGGTGTTCCCTGGTGAAACTCTGCCCCTTCCTCTACCCACAGTAGCAGGTTTGATCTTCCGAAGGTTTCCTTTGACCTGGTAGTTAATCAGTATGGCCAGATGGTAAAACTTGATTATTTTTTCAATGCTGTAAATACCTATTCTTATAAAAGATTCTGCTCTTTGAGGAGAAGTAGCAGCAGGAAAAATGTTCTATATAAAGAAGACACTATTTTAATAGGTTTCTCCCCCTTGACCTCTATAAGCTCTTTGGACTGGTTTCGACTTTGCAGGAAATCCATATATCAGAAGTGTATAAAGATGACTGCCTTTTAGCTTTTTGTATGGTAGGAGGGCATAGATATGTTTTCATGAATCTTCCTCTGATTTTTCTTTTCGATAGTTAGTGCATGAACTCTGCATAGACGAGCTTTTTTTATTAGTAGAAGTAGGCTAGAAATTCTGTAGGGGTCTTTAATAGCTATCCACTTTAATTATATTCTGATAAGCACATGTGATTAAAGCCTAGGAAATATAATCCTGAATGATTAATGAGATTTGCTAATGAGATGCTTTTCTTTTGCAGCCTCCTAATTTTCCCTACAAAGATGATATCATGTCAGTGAATTCTACCTGTTTGGTCCTTATTATTCTTCTGTTTATCAGCATTATCTTGACTTTCAAGGTAAGAATAAAGATTTTACTCATTGCCTAAATATTATTAAACATATTCACGAATGCCAAAGAAGTATACAAATTTCAGTCAGCTCATTCTCTTGCTTTAGATTTTTTATTTTTCTGACTGTTCTTTTCATTCTCTTAACAATATGAAAGACAATCACTAACCAAACTTCCACAGGCTAGTCAAGGGTTATTCCCAGATTTATTCAGATGAGAATAAATTAATGTAATGTTATGCATTGAGTAGTACATATTATATGCTGCAGCATTTATTACAATGTTTGTAACTTGTTTTTAAAATGCATTATATTCTCAACATCATTGTTTAGCATTCTATTATATGAATCATTATTTAATAAATTATTGTTGGACATTGAGACAGTTTCTACTTTTTCCGTTATTAATATTGCTGCAATGAATAAAATTAAATAACGTATTTTGTATATTTAGGCATTCCCTAAGGTACATTTCTTAAAATTAGAAGGTATGCATAATTTGAAGGCTTGTGCTAGGTTGTCAAATTGATTTGCACAGAAGTTGAATGAGAACACTCCCATCAGCCGTGTTTCCGCACCCTCAGCAGCTGAGGGCTGTCTGTTCCTTTTCATCTTTGTGAACCTGTAACAGAAACATCATTATAATCCACACCGGTGTGCTACTAATGAGTAGAAAATTCTCAAATTATTATTGGACTTTGAACTTTTAATTTTTAATACCTTTCATAGTCTTTATTTTGACTTAAAATTGCCCAGTTCTCCAAAAATCAAACTTCAGTAAAGCTTGAGGGAGCTGCATCTAGGGAGAAAGGTCATTTTAAATAGGTAATATGAAGAAGTGAATCATTCAAAGGAAAGAATTCATTGACGATTATTTGGGTCTACATTTTCCCCTGTAAAACAGAGTATGTTGGTATTGCATTTGTAGTTTAATGGTCAAAGATTTGGGGGAATGTTATGCACAGATGTTGAGGCTTACCGTGCCTACAGCTCCTACTCCCCTTTACCCCAACTTCTGGCTGCTCTGTCAACCCCAAATGCCATCCTCTGCCACCCAGGCTGCATGTAGATTTGGCTCCTGGCAAAAGGCCACAAACTGTCACTTGCTGCTGCTTGTCTTTGAAGGATAGATTCCCCTTAGCTTTTGACGCGGTTTGGCGCCTTTCCCTTGCCGAGGGGGAGGGAGAGGGGGTTTTTAAGTATCTTCTTTGGATATTTTATTATGAAATGGAAGTGTTTTTATGAATTTTATTGACTGTAGCAAATTTTTATCCTGTAAGCCTATTTTAAAAATTGATTTGATAATAAAAACTTAGATAAGCATATAGAATAAAAATCTCAAAGACACGGAATTTAAAATGTGAGAAATTGGTTAATTGTCCTGTGAATTTCGGAGCAATAGATGTGTTTGGCATTTGCTACTACCTTCTTTTCGAATTTTTTTCTCAGCCCCTCTCTCCACTTTCACCACCTACTGGGGTGCTGTGGCAGAATAAGGCTAGCATAGCCCCCTTTGTCAGAAAGTTACTGTACCCAATATTTGTCATTTTAAAATCTTTTTGGTTTAGTAGAGTCAATTTATGCATTTATAATTTATGTGAATAAAAGTTTTGTAATACGGCTTTCTCTGTGGTGACATTTAAAATTGTTAGAAATTTGGCCCTGGCTGGTTTGGCTCAGCGGTTGGAGCGTCGGCCTGCAGTCCAGAGAGACCTGGGTTCGGTTTCCGCTAAGGGCACATGCCTCGGTTGCAGTTTGTCCCCGGCCTGGTCGGTCGTGCGGGTGGCAGCCACTCGATGTGTCCCTTTCACATCGATGTTTCTCTCTCTCTCTCTCTCCCTCTCTCTCCCTCCCACTCTACCTGAACAAAAAATGTCCTCGGGTGAGGATAAAAATAAATAAATAAATAAATAAATAAATAAATAAATAAATAAATAAATAAATAAAATTGTTAGAAATTTGAGAATTAAATTGCTGATAATTACTCCTCACTTTCAGGGATACTTGATTAGCTGCGTTTGGAACTGCTACCGATATATCAATGGCAGGAACAACTCTGACGTCCTGGTGTATGTTACCGGCAATGACACTACGGTAGGTGCCACGTCCTGTACCGAGGAGGTCTCCCCACATTAACTGTGTGGTGGCTTCTAAATGTTTCTGGTGTTGCTATGTTTTTACTGTTGTTGAAACATACTCATGAGCTGCTTAGTCATCAGACGATTCATAGGTGAATGAAATGTTTTATTTTCCTTAAAGTATATTAAAACCCAGATGATTCAACTTCTGGTTTATTTAAAAACTATTACAGATAGCAAATATATGTACCGTCTCCATATTTATATGTCTTAAACCTGAATTATTAAACCACTGGATGTAATTCTGCATCGTATGATTATACTGTCTCACTGGACACATGAAATTAAACCTTGAAATGTGATATTATAGGTAGAGAAATAAGAATGGCACAAGTTAACTATGTCTTTAAAACTTGCCCTGCATATGCCCTGGCTGGTTTGGCTCAGCGGTTAGAGCGTCAGCCTGCGGTCCTGAGAGACCCGGGTTCGGTTCCCGCTAAGGGCACGTACCTCGGTTGCAGTTTGTCCTCGGCCCTGGTCGGTCGTGCGTGTGGCAGCCACTCGATGTGTCCCTTCACGTCGATGTTTCTCTCTCTCTCTCTCTCTGTTCCTCTCTCTCCCTCCCATTCTACCTGAACAAAAAAATGGGAAAATGTCCTCGGGTGAGGATAAAAAATAAATAAAATAAATAAAACTTGCCCTGCATATTAAAACCTCAGTAAAAGAATGTAGATGATCCCTGTCCTGTTACTAGTTGTTCATACTTAAAATTTTCAAACCTCTCAAATAATATTTTGGAAAACATGTATTCACTGGAAGAGTCCCGGAAATCATTTGCACTTTATGTAAATTATTTTAAACTGCCCGGATCATGGTAAGGTAAAAGTATAAGTCCTGTAGATACTGCGTGTCCATTGCCTCTGCATTCAGCACAGGTACGTGCTCACTTAGTGGCTAATAAAAGTGATGGGGCCCTGGCCGGTTTGGCTCAGCGGTTAGAGCGTCGGCCTGCGGTTCAGAGAGACCCGGGTTCGGTTCCCGCTAAGGGCGCGTACTTGGTTGCAGTTTGTCCCCGGCCCTGGTTGGGTCATGCGGGTGGCAGCCACTCAATGTGTCCCTTTCACGTCGATGTTACTCTCTCTCTCCCTCCCACTCTACCTGAACAAAAAATGAAAAAATGTCCTCGGGTGAGGATTTAAAAAAAAAAAAAAAAAAGGATGGAGCTGAGCGTGTGGGATGGGTGGAAATGGATACTACTGCAGGGGATAGAAAGGGCAGGACCGATGAAGGGTGAATATAGACGGTATGTCAAATCTAAATTAGAACTGAGTTCTATGTTTTGCTTTGTTTCTTACGTTCTGGTGACTTGTTCACTCTGTGACCTTACTGAAATAATTTAACCTGTCCCTGCCTTTACTTTCCTGTGTATAAAATGGGAATACAGTAATTTCAACCTTTATATCGGGTATATAGAAGCAAGCTGATGTTACTGAGAACTTTGGGGTCTCTGGGAGAAAGCGTGTTATACATGACTAGCTGTCCTAAGTACTGCCAAGCATTGGTGGAGCCGAGTCAAATACGCGCGGGCAGTGGTTTCAGGAGAGGCTGTGCCGCGATCGCAGGCACGAAACCCAGCGCCCCAGGTGCCGAGGCCACCCTTTCCGGGCCTTCAGGATCGTCTGCACTGACACAGCACACACTGTCTGCTTATCTCCTTAGAGACTTTTGCTTGAGTCAGTAAGTCTCTTTAAAGAAGTCACTTCAAAATTATTGTGATCTTGGTAAAGTTAACTGGCTTAGAGAATTTTTTCCTTTTGAGTTTCTAGGTATTTATCTGTTTTTTTTTTTTTTCTTTTCTTTTTTTTATCCTCTCCCGAGGACATTTTTTCGTTTTTTGTTCAGATAGAGTGGGAGGGAGAGAGAGAAAGAGAAACATCGATGTGAAAGGGACACATCGAGTGGTTGCCACCCGCACGACCCAACCGGGGACAAACTGCAACCGAGGTACATGCCCTTAGCGGGAACTGAACCCGGGTCTCTCAGGACCGCAGGCCAACACTCTAACCGCTGAGCCAAACCGGCCAGGGCTCTAATGAACTTTTTAGAAGAAACTTATTTTTCTCGGTTTGAAAGATTCAAAATTAGATGCGGAGTAACAGTAAAATTTTATTTAGGCTAACATAAACTCAAAATAATTGTGCTTTTTAATGGGACATCCCCAGCTCCTCTAATAATAGATTTCTTTCCCTTAGAAAGGCGTGCAGCTTGGCAGGAGTTTGTAGTGACTAGGATTGGGGACTGTGGACCATGCCAGCTCTGATTGTTCCCTGGTGTGTGATATAAGACGCCAGGGGATTGCTTAGTGGTAGTTGTTGGTCATTATCTCCTCAGTCATTCTGTATCAACTTGCCTTTTTTTTTTTTTTTTTAAAGTTGTTGAAAGTATTACAGATGTCCCCCCTTTTTTCCTCATTGACCCCCCCGCTCCCCCTCCCTCCTGCCTTCCCCACAGTGTTGTCTGTGTCTATTCGTTATGCATCCAACTTGCTATTTTTAAGATAAAGAAACTGAGTTGCTGCTGATAATGTTAACTACTTTGTCAAAGTTCCCAGTGAGCCTTTCATTTTATTTCATTTTATTTTTTTTTGAAGAATGGTATTCCTGGGAAAGGGAGATTTCTCATTTCTCATAACTCAGTTGCATTGACAGTTCAGGCCAAAATATAGGGAATGATCGCCATGTGAAGTCTTAGCTTTCTGACAGTATTTAAATTTAAAAAACAAAGCCATATAATGGTACTGTGGTTGTTTTTTAAAGCATAATTATATATAAAGTTATATAAAATATCTTAATATCAAAATACACAGTAAGTGCTCAGATTTCCAATTGTCTCATAAGTGTCATAATTTTTCTTGCAGTTTATTTGAAACAATCTATGGATCTAGGGGTTGACAAAGTAGGTTTACAGTTGTGAGTATGTGAAAGTTTATTCTTGAATAATTATTTACTAATTATTATTTAAATTTTTTGTTTTTTTTTTAGTGAGAGAGAAAGGGAGAGGGAGAGAGAGAGAACATCAGTGTGAGAGAGAAATATCGCTTGGCTGTTTCCTGCATGTCCCCTGTGGGGATTGAGCCTGCAACCCAGGCATGTGCCGTGACCCGGGAATGGAACTGGGACCTTTTAGTCCATGGGACGACGCTCAACCCACTGAGCCACACCGGCCGGGCTATTTACTAATCGTTGTATTAACTTTCCATATAAACAACTATAAACCTACTTTTGCCCACCCCTGTATGTATATTTAAGTCTCTTAATTTTTTATTGAAGAAACTAGTTTGTCCTATAGAGTAGATTTTTCTGATTTTGGTCCTTTTTGTATTCCCAGTAAAATAGGTCTAGAGGCTTTCCATATTCTTATTCCCATATTTTTACTTTTTTTCAAGATTACTTCACAGTTGATTATTTGTTCTTCCACCAGGAGGCATGTAATATCTGCTTGGTTCTGTCTTTCTGGGATGTCAGCAACCATTGCTACCTAATGCCTAGATTCATTGACTCTTGAAGGGTTATGTTACTATGACATTCTATCATTCTTTTTTCATTTATTAGCTGGAATATTTCTACAAGAAGAAACTTTCCCTCCTGTACTAATAGTCTATCCAGGACTATTTGTGACATGGATAAATACACTTGGTTTTGTTCTCTTGATCAGTTTTCAAAATCATTCTCTAGTGGTGATCAGTGAGGAGTGGGTTTTTTTGGTTTGTTTTTTTATGTGTGTGTGTGTGTGTGTGAATTGAGGTTTTTAAGTAATACATGAACTCATGAAAAGAGCCCTATTTTTTTTTTTTTTTTTTTTTTTAATTTATTTTTTGGTACGTGCCCCTAATGGGAACCGAACCTGGGACTTGTCCGCAGGCCGGCGCTCCAACCACTGAGCCAAACCGGCCAGGGCAAGATTCCTATTATTAGAAGATCCAGAGACGTCGAGCTGAAAAGTACAACTATTTTAATTTTATCACTAAGCCTAAATAAAACTTACCTATTATTGATACCTATTTTGCAACTTTTTTTTTTTTATTCTCACCCAAGGACATTTTTTTCACCTTTGTTCAGATAGCGTGGGAGGGAGAGAGAGGAAGTAAAAGAGAGAGAAACATCGACATGAAAGAGAGAGAGAGTGGTTGCCTCCTACACGACCCCAACCAGGGCTGGGGACAAACCATAAGCGAGGTTCGTGCCCTTGGCTGGAATTTAAACTGCAACTCATTGGTCCGCGGGCCGTCGCTCTAACCGCTGAGCCAAACTGGCCAGGGCCTATTTTGTAACTTTTAAAAGGGGGAAAATAAAAGCTTTCTCTCAAAAGCTGGTACATTATAATTAATATCCTTCTAAACGCTCAAAATGTACTGTGTTTGGCCTTTTGGAGCCTCTTCAAGTCGGTGCCCAGAACTTTTGACACAGTCTTTGATGGCGACCTTGCTGTCTGATGTGACAAGGTACAAGGTGTTCTGTGCCCATCTTGTACATTGCCTGGCCCAGACCTAGAGTCAGCCATTTGTCCATGAGTCACAGCTTCCTTTTGCTGGGGCCATGATCTGGAGTTGTAGGGTTGGAGAACAGATTTGGTTTTTTTGAAACAGGGCTGTTCATGGTTAAAGGTTGTTTTAACTAAAACTAAAGAAGTCAGTCGAAATATGCTGGAGCCTCACTCTGAGATTCTAAGTGGGGGTTGAAATGATAAAGTTCTGTCATTTTCCCTATCTCCATAGCTATATTGAGATCATTGTATAGCTACGCTTATAATAATAAGCTTATCTTTTGTCCAGCTCTGTTTTGGGAATCTACACAGACATAACATGTTGTGTCTTTCACGTACTGATCAAGTATTAGGCCAGATGGCTTTTCTTCCAGGCTGAATCGTCTCAGGGTGACCTCTGGAAAGATACTGGGACTCTTGTTGGTAGAAAATAAGTATGCTTTTTTTCCCCTCTGAAACAATACAGTTTATTAG